CCAGGCCCAGGAGCGGGACTGCCGCAAGTCCTTAGTTTGCCAGCGCACCTGCTCCCAGCTGTGCTGGTGGCCCCGGGCGGCCAGGCTGGCAGCCATGCGGCTGTAGACGGCCGTGTTTCTGTGGCTAGTGCGGAGATTGTGGACATTGGAGGCTTCCCCCCAAACCTCGATGAGGTCCACGATCTCCGCACTTGACCAAGAGGGCGCCCGGCTTTTACGCCCCCGGGCAGGCTCCTGGGAGCCGCCAGGCTGGTCCTGGGGAGCACTGGAGGGCTGGGTGTCCTCAGGTGGCTGGCTCATGGTGTGGCAGGTGCAGGGTGTGCTGGCACGGGTGCCGGCAGCCTTGCAACTGGCACAAACTGTGTAGCCAGCCCATGGTCCTTTAAGGGCTCCGGGGCTGGGAGGGGGGCAATAGAGTTTCCCTGGTGTTGGCCAGAGTGGCCACCAGGGAAATCTGGGAAGCATTAGCCTCCCACTAGTTCGAATTAAGGGTCTACACAGCCCTTAATTCGAACTAGCTAGTTCGAACTAGGCTTAATCCTCGTAAAATGAGGTTTACCTAGTTCGAACTAAGCGCTCCGTTAGTTCGAATTAAGTTCGAACTAACGGAGCGCTAGTGTAGCACCTAGGAAAGTTAGTTCGAACTAACGTCCGTTAGTTCGAACTAACTTTGTAGTGTAGACATACCCAAAGGGAGTTTGTGTCTAGTGGGGGCTCAGGGCTAGGGAAGGGACTTAAGGTGCAGAAGGGGGGTTCATGACTGGGGCAGGAGTTCAGGAAGCAGGCTCCAGCTAGACACTGCTTATCTCAAGTGGCTCCTGGGGGGTGCTGCAGTGGGACTAATGCAGGCTCACCCCTGCCCTGGCCCTGCACCACTCTCAAAAGCAGCCAACAAACTCCCTCCATCCCAAGCCTTGTGCCCCCCAATATGTTCTGTGGAAACAGAATACAGGGTGTGAGAGGGGACAACCTGACATCAGCACTCCCTGCTCTCCTTCACCCAGGGCCAGCTCTAGGCACCAGCAAAACAAGCAGGTGCTTGGGGCGGCACATGGCCAGGGGCAACTTTCTGGCCCACACACACCTGCCCAGGAACCCAGCCCCCTTGTGCTGTGTCCTGACAACCTCCCACCTGCCTGGGACCCAGTCCCTTCCTGTCTGGGGCAGGAGAGCTTTATTAAAATTGGAATTGTTATCCCATTTAAATAGGCTTTGGTTTAAATAATATGCCTTGAAAATTAAATTAAAAATTGTTATGGCCTAAATTTATCATAACCTATTTAAATAACTTATGAATTAAATTTAAAACTTAAATGGAACATGTCTCCTGTCAACTTTTAAAGAAATTCTACCAGTTCACTAGTGTAAGGACCTAGAACCACTGTTTACATCCTGTTTACAACTGGACTCCTTGTCGCTTTTGTCTTGTTCTGGACAGTTGAGCTGAGGAGTTGAAACAAAAGTTCTCTTAATCCCTTTGAACTGTTTCATTGTATAGTGAGGCTGATTCTTGTCTTTGGGCACCAAGAGTTGGACAGCTTATGGATTGGGGTTGGAGTCTGAGTGATTATAAGGCTTCTAATAATAACATCCCTTTGCAGAGTGAGAGGTGGGACCAGGACTCCAGCACTAGGGGATGTGAACAGCTGCATGCTTTGGAAGTCTCTAACTGGCTTGCTGTGGATGAACCTGCCCTCCTGTTGTCCTCACATGGGGAGTTCCTGATGCTCTCCTAGGAGATGAAAATGCCCAGGGGTTTGGGATCCCTCTAAAGTACATGCCCCACCCCCCCGGAAGCCACACAAGCTGCATTTGCACGTGCACCCCCTAGGGGTTTGGGATCCCTCTAAAGCACATGCCCCACCCCCCCGGAAGCCACACAAGCTGCATTTGCACGTGCACCCCCAACAAGCCGTGCAAGCTGCATTTGTGTGTGGATCCTCCCCGGACAAAAAAGGGGAGGGGGTGGCCAAATTTTTTTTTGCTTGGGGCTGCAAAAAACCTAGAGCCGGCCCTGCACTCACCTGCTCTGCACAGCAAGTGGGGGAGTCAGGGACAGCTCCAAGACAAAGGGCAGGACGTGCACAGACACCTGCTCTGCAGGGAGTCGGGGACAGCTCCAAGGCAAAGGGCAGGACGTGCACAGAAGTAGGGGGAGGAGCAGTTGAAGTGCCAGCATTTGATAGCCTCTTGGCCAAACCAGTCAAGATCACCTGTCAGAGGCTCCAAGATCTGCCAGTAGTTCCTGATCTACTGGTTGGTGATCACTGCTCTACAAGGTCCTTGTACCACTCCCACTGTAGGGGTAGTTTTGGGGGGAGCAGAGGTAGGGCTACCAGATCTTCCCCATCCTGGATTCACAGCCCATTTCCTCCTGCAGAATGGAGACTCAATAGAGGCAGCGACTGCATCAACCTGGGAGCCAAATATGGGCTCCACTGAAAAGCTCCATTGCTACACTGTATCCTAGGTTTGAGGGATTCTAATTCCTCCTCCAAGCTGCTAGGTCTTGCTGCATTCTGCCTCGCATTCTTACAACACTATACCCATTTCAGCTCTGAAGCATGTTCTTTAAAAGGCGGGTATTTCCGTGTGGAAAGAGGGCAACGTAAGTCATGTCTCTTACTGCCCAAGCTTAGGCTGACAGAAATAGATTAAGGTCTCCATCAGTGAGGATAACGGTAAGTTGAGGGTTTTGAGTGACTTTTCACACTGGGCTGGAGTAATTGTACAGTCGGAGGGTTACTTTGCTTATTATTTTGCTTTTACTTACAGTGCAGCCCTAAAAAGACCATTTAAAATCATTTGATCAATTTTGTATATGGAGCCTGCCAGGCAAGATAACCAATGTGGAGAACATTAAGAAATGACTAGCATGAAAGATAAACGTTTCTGATGGCACCAAACAAGCAGAATGTGCACTGAGCTGAAATGGGAATGTTAGGCACTCTCCAAAAGGAGCCATTAGCATTCTGTGACTGTATAATAGATGTATCTATTTTAGAAAATAACCCCAATTCTCCTTACTGCATTTAGAAATGTATTAAATTTATTCTCTATAATCAAACTGGTTTTGTTGAACACAAGGAGCAAATAAAGAGAATCCAGAAACAATATTTTGCTGAATTTTAATTAACCTAAAAGGAAGTAATATGACCTAGACAATGGCTACTGGCAAAAATATTACATAAATGCCTGTTCTTTGTCATTCCTCTCAATTGATTGGTTCAAATAAAATATACAATGAAAAGTGATCTGTAACTTTAAACACACGAGTCCTAGTTCTCATTTACATTGTATATTAAGGTCCTTTTGCACTATTTGGTTTAAGCTAATGAAGCTTTAACACAAAAGGGAATTAGAACTTAAAGGAATCAGGTCTTTACTTCATGCTTTCTGAATTTATGTAGAGTTAATTTCAAAGAATTTCCCATGCACCATCTTGTTTATTGCCTGGCTTTTCAAGGGTAAGTGCATACTGCCTTAGGTGTTTGTTTGTTTGTTTGTTTGTTTGTTTGTTTGTTTGTTTTTACATTGGCATATGTGTCCAA